TTCAATACAAACAATCAGTTGGTCCCGCAGCTAGCGGGAACTGTGCTCCCCAAAGAATCACGGGACTGGCGATCCCGATGCTGGCTGGCCAATTGTCACACTTTTGGTGATTTGGCAAACATTCCCTCTGCTGGCGGGTTAATTATGCTACCTTTGCTGACTGGGCAATAGACCCTTCCCGCTGCTGGGGGGGCAGTTGTTTCACGCTAGCTGATCTGAAATCGAGCCCTCCCGCATCTCGTGGGGCCTTGTTATCTACTTCCACTGATGGGGGAATCGAACATACCTCTGCTGAAGGGACAAGTCACTTTACTCTACCGGGCGCCATCGAGCCTTTCCATTGTCATTTCTACTATTGCGATCTTGATCGGACAGAAGAAGAGGTAAGGGGTAAGGACTTGGGGTTAAGCGTGGGTCAGTACCTGCATGACACTCGCTCAGTCAAAGAGAGCGGGCTGGCGGGCTTGAGTGCGCCCTTTTACCTTTCTTTCACTGTTGTAATGTCTATCTCAGTCAACTGTCTGTGGAGAATGGCGGGTTGAGCCTGTCCACAGCGGGAGGAAGAAACCGAGCTAATGAAGGAGGCAAGAGAATGTACCTAGGGAAACGGAGGGAATGAGTGCAGGCGGTGTATTTCATCAGGGGGGAATAGACCAATGGTGCAGGGAAGGATGAGAGAGAGAGAACAGCGACAGAAATAGAGAGAGAACAACGAGAGAGAGAGAACAAAGAGGGAGAGAGAAAGAGAACGGGGGGGGCACATCCAAGGTTGACTCGGGAAACTCGCTGCTCCGTCCGTAGCTGATTTGCCAGGTGACTGTCGAAACTCACTGTTGCGTGAGCTCGCTGAACTGTTGATAAGCTGTTGAACCAATTGGCTGTTGAAACTTAAGGTTGTATGAGCTTGTGGTATTACCAGTTGTCCGTTGAACCCCCTTGCTTTGTGAAGTTGCTAAATTGCACAGAGAAAGAAAAAGAAAATTGGAAGCGTGACAGGGCGCCGCAAGTTTCGATTCCTGCTGGTCGCCGAGGACCTCGGAAGCGGGCGCGGTGGGTGACAGGCGCCGTTGCCCTTAGCTTCGGCGAACGGTAGGCGCCCCTCCCCAGGTTTCCTCACAGCGAGGCTGGGCCCCTCATCTGCCCGACTTTTTGGAATGAGCGCTTGTGCCCGTCGTGTCCCCCATCCTGTGGTCTCGGTATGCTGCAGACTGTGACGGATCGCATTGCGTCGTGGTTCTGGTGCATTTAGGTTATGGGCTTCAAAGGCTACTGTCTTCTGTCTCTTGGGTTTCGCTTGCGTCGAGTGCTGTTGGTGGTGGCCGCGGCAACCGGCGGATGTGGACCTAGGGGGGAGAGGGGTTGTGTTCCTTTTGGGCCCCCGTGCACAGGTGGAGGCTTTCCGTCCGTCCGGGCGTATTGGAAGCGTGGTGCATTCGTTTCTCTCTTCACCCGCGAATCTTGATGGAGAGATGAGGCTGTGCACTTCGCTGTCGGTACGTTTTAGGCGGGCAGTGGCATCCGGCTGTGGGCCGAAGCTGTCGGTGGTTCCTTCGCGCGTGCCGTTGTTCGGGTAGTGTGGTTAACTTGCGATCTCTGGGTGTGGTGTGGGCGGGTGCTGTTCGCAGCCAATCTCTTGGGCGGGTGCGGCGGGCTGTGTTGGATTGTGCGGTACCTTGCCATTGAAGATGGCCTATGGAGGGAAGTTCACCTGCAATCCACAATTGTTCGATGTTCTTTTGGTAGGCTGTCCGGCATGACGTGCCTACGTGCGCCTCGGCCATCGCTCCTTGCGGCTGCTCGTCACACCCGCTACCTGGTTAATCGTGCCAGTAGTCATATGCTTGTCTCAAAGACTAAGCCATGCACGTCTAAGTGTGAACACTTTGCACTCTGAAACTGCGAATCAGCCAGGGAGCTGCAGGAGAAGGAGATACGCCGGTGAATGGACCCCATTTTAGCGTCGAACGTGGAAGAGGAAAGGCGAGCCTGGAGGGAGATCGAGCAGCGATACGATGCGGTGGTGCTGAAGGAGTTGCACGCGGCGCATCGACGCGTGGGGGGCCCCGAAGTAGTAGAGGGCTATCGTAGGCGACAGGAGTCGAAACCCCGTAGTCGGCATATCTGGCCGCCCAGGGGGACGGGCGGAAGAAGGCACAGGGATCCCCCAGTGGAGGTGCATGACCGCATGGAGATTGACCCCCCTGTGTGGCTCTTTGGTGATACGTACCGGAAACATAAGCAGTTTCAGGAGGACACTACCAAGCAGTTCCAGGAGGACACTACCAAGGGGGTCGGGGTTGAGGTGGGGATTGAGAAGCGGAAGTGTGGTCCTAGCATGCAGCCGGCTTCGGCAACTCTGGGTGCTACAGCCACGGACGCGCGGGTTGACGACCAGGTGCAACCGGCTGAAGTAGGGAATGTGCCGGGGGGGGGGGGGGGACGACCTGGTCGATAAAGAGGTCATTGTCCAAGAGTGAGGCTCACGGGTTGAAGGCTCTAACGAGCCATTGATCCCGGTCGATGCACAGGTACAGGGGATGGAGAGTAAGGTGGAGGGGACCGAGCAACAACGGGTTACCAAGGAGGCAACCCTCGTGGAACAGGAGCGCGGCGCGCACGAACAGGGGGCTGCGGGGCTCCATGGGCAGCCGACCCCGACTGATGCCCGAGTACAGGGGATGGGGAGTAAGGTGGCGGGGACTGAACAGCAACAGGGGGACAAGGGCGCACCTCCTGTGGCGCAGGAGCGACGGGTGCATGCACCGGGGGTGGGGCGTGAAGAGGAGGGGGCTGCGAAGCACACATCGGCTACCCCCCCCGGAGGAGCGGGGACGGTGGGCGGGCGTAACAAAGGAAAAGGTAAACTTTGATGCGGTGTGTCGTTGGGAAGGGAAAGCGTGTGTGCCCGAACTGGATAGGGAGTGGGTGCGGGGGGAGACGAGTGGGAGACGGGTGGACGAGGCTCAGTCGCCGTCCCCCCCCCCGGAGGAGGAAGCAGGTAAGGTGGTGACATTGGAGGGGAAGGGGGAAGACAGTCAGGGCAGGCCCCATAGGCAGGTACTTCGGAGTTCGGGGGGGGAGACAGGACAAGTTAACGAGGTGCTGAGTGAGTTTGGGGGTAAGCAGAAGGGGCAGGGTGGGCTGGATGAGATCAGTCCAGGGAAAGTGCCGGAGGACGTTAATGAGGCCAATGGATGGTCGAATGATGTGGAGGCAGTGGAAACTTCGGGGAAGACGAATGACGGGGGAGGGGGGGGGAACAGAAAGGAAAGCACGCCAGGGGGAAAGGTCGGGGAGAGTGACGCGCTCCCAGGGGGAGGGCAGGCACGGGGAGAAGACAAGCAAGTGATGCTCGACTGTGCGCAGGTCAGCACATTAGACAGGAAGGTCGGGGAGGAGGAGACGGTGGGGGGGAACAGCAAGGAACGTACGCCAGGGGGAAAGGTCGGGGAGAGTGAGGCGCTTCAAGGGGGAGGGCAGGAACGGGGAGAAGACAAGCAAGCGATGCTCAACTGTGCGCGGGTCAGCACAGTAGACAGGAAGGTCGGGGAAGAGGAGACGGCCCAAGGGCGCGTGCGGGAGGGGGGCGACGGCGGGGCTGGGCGTTCGTGCGAAAGGACGGGAGAGAGTGGTGGGGAGGAGGAGGCGGGGGGGGGGGGGGGGGGGGGGAATGACAGGTCGGGGGAGGGATCGGGGAGCGGGGAAGAGGCTGGGTGGCAGCAGCAGGAATGCTGGCTCCTTGTCCCTTATGGTCGCACAAAAACGGGTGTGGAGTCAACGGATGTGCATATCCCGGTTCCGGGGGGCGCGAAAGAAGGCGAATCGGACGAGGTGGAGGTGGTGGACCTCGCAGCTAGCCTGTCGGCCCTTTCCCCCACCCCCTCCCCCTCCCCCACAAAAGTGAGCCCACTGCTGTGTCATCGGATAGTGGGTCGGTGGATGCCGAGACATCGGCGGAAGCAGCTGACTTCGGGCCCGTCCATATCGAGCCCCTCGGAGGTGGGAAGTTCCTTACAGCAAGCAACAGTGGCGATCCAATCCGATCGAGAAGAGGAGCGACGCGAGCCGCAGGCACGGGTGGACGCAAAGCTGAAGAGGCGGGATCGGTCCCGCTCCCCGGCTGGTCGCAAGGCGCAGCCGCTTAAAGACGAGGACCGATGGGTGTCCCCGCAGCGGAGACGCATTGAAGAAGAGGAGTTACAAAATAAGGTGGCCGAGGATGGGCTGGCGGAAGGCATGGAGGACGCGCAACCCCGCCAGCCTTCCCCGGATTTGGATGAGCCCATGACAGGGGATGAAGGCGGGGACTCGACGGATGATAGAGGCGGGGCGATGGATGAGGACATGGATATCAACGAGGGGATGGAAGCGGATATGGATGTTGATACAACGGTGAAGGGGTCGCTACAGGAAATATTGGCAGTCGGGGAGTGTTATGTCTGCCCCGTGATGCTGTGGTGGGCGGAGCATGGCATTAAGGTGGTCGTGAAAGGCAGTACGGAATTCTTTGTTTATGCGGCGCGGTCCCTCCCCAAGAACCCGAATATCACCAGACAGGTCAGCCGTTGGGTGGGTCCAAACTACAGACTGAAAGTGCTTCCCAAAGTCTCGGTGGGACGTTTTTTCAGGCAACTGCGAGGGGGGACGGAGTATGGGCTTTTGTTTTTTTTTACGTCCATTACCCCCCGGCGAGCGGGCTCTCTGACCTTGGCTCACAAGGATGCCACTTGGACGAAGATGGATCAGGTCTTTGGCCCCCGTGCCAGCCCGACTGACTATCGGATCGTCAACGAGTTTACGGCGGGGATTTTGGCCAAAGTCAATTCTATGTTGCCTATGAACCAGCGTCTGGGATCGGGGAACTTTGCTGAAGCCACGGGTTGGTGGGCGACGGAGGATAGGATGTAGTAGGGCTAGGCTTAGGTGCGCTGTGTTAATTATGAGTGCCTCTGGGTGAGTGCACTCCCTCCTCTAGAGTGGAATAGCTAGTGTTGCTGCGATTCTTGCAGTTTTTCGGCTGTGTTTTTGTTGTTTCATTTGCTAACTTGCTTGCTTGCTTGCTTGTCTGTGTGTCATTTGCGTTTTGACTACATTTTGCTTGTCTGTGTGTTGCTTGGTTTTTGTTTACACTCTTGGTTTTTCTTCCTCCACCCGACCGGTTGGGGCTGGCGGGATGGATCGAAGAAACCGGTTAACTAAGCTTAAGCTGTTAACTTGGAACGTGAAGGGCTTGTCGACACGGTCTCTAAATCCGAAGCGATGGGAGCTGCAGCGTACCGCCCGCAAACATCAGATCGACGTTCTCTGCCTCCAGGAGACTAAGTTGGGGGAAGGGCTCTGTTTGCACGACGCCCCCTGGTGGAAGGGACCTCAGGTTTGGGCCCCTGCGCAAGGAGGAGCTGATAGAGGAACGCAGGGGGGCGTGGCTATCCTAATCTCCCCCCATTTTCGAGGGGAACTAGTGGATTGGAACTGGGACAGACAGGGGCGATGGGCCTGGGTGATGCTGCAGTGGGGGCGGATCCGCTGGTGTGTGGTGCCGGTGTATGGACCCACGGATCCCCGTGCGCGGACCGACTTCTGGGCGGAGTTCAGAACCCAAATCCCTGAAGTCGAATGCTATGTGTTTGCTCGGGACTTCAACACCACTATCCACCCGGGGCTGGATTCCCTCCAGGAACACCCGCCCACGGCAGATGCGGAGGCGCTGCTGTTGTTTATGGCAGAACAGGACTGTGTGGACGTCTACCGCACGGCCTTCCCTGTGGGACGGGAATTCACCTGGTATGGTTTGGCAAACCGAAGGAGACGGATTGATATGGTGTGGGCCCCGAGTTCGATCTTCAGGAGTGGCAGCGAGGTTGCATACCTTCCAACAGCGCTGTCAGACCACGTAAAGGTCGCAGCCAACTTCCCAGTGGGGGACATTATGGTGGGTCATCCGCAACCGTCCCTTCCCGCATGGGTTTTTCATGACGAAGAGTATAAACCTCTGATTCAACAACATTGGGATAATTGGCTGCCGTGACGCCCCCAAGGAATGGATGAGTTGGGATGGGTGGCGCAGGGCAATGCTCTGCTGCACAGGTGTCTGCATGATAGGCTGGCCGGTAGTTACCGTGCCCACTTGGCCACAGGATAGGAGTACGCCGACCGCCTTAGTGCGCTAAATTGTGGCCCTAAGGACGAGCAGACGGAAGAGGAATGGTGGGTGGAGCGGGTCGAGGCCGTGAGGGAGTGGCAAGAGTGGGAGACGGTGGAAACCGCCCGTTGGGGGCGCAAATCAAGGGTGGGATGGACCGTGGTGGGTGAGAAGATGTCTCGACGATTCTTCAGAGAGCTGGGAAAGAAGCAGGGGATCGCCCTCATGACGGCAATGGACCCCCCCTTCGACCTCCGGCAGGCGAGGCAAGAGACTACGTTGCGGATCTTGGACTGTGTAACGGACTTCTACGCTGGTCTGTTTACGGAGGAGGATGGATGGACTGTGGAGCAGATGGCGATGGCCCCGCAGGAGCATATTTGGAGGCACGTCCCGCCCGGCCTCACTGAGGAGCAGGCGCAGCCTTTGGAGACGGAGATCACGCTAGAAGAGGTCCTTAGGGCGATTGGAGAGCTGCCAAGACTCAAGGCGCCGGGGGTGGATGGAATCCCTGTCGAAATGTATAAGGCACATAACCACTTCTTTGGTCCACTCCTCACACGGGCCTTCAATGAGGCTTTGCAGGCGGGACGTCTCCCGGAAGGCTTTGCAGACGCCTTTGTGGTGCTGATCTATAAGAAGGGTGCCCGCGAGGATGTCAGGAATTGGCGCCCGATATCAATTCTCAATGCTCCCTACAAGATCCTCGCCAAGGTATTGTCGAACCGGCTCAATGAGGTGCTGCCGCGTATTATCAACCCCGCCCAAGCGGGGTTTGTTCCGGGGAGGCAGATTGTCTCGAACATTATGCTGGCTAGACAGGTCCTTAGGCACCAGGAGGTCTGCGACCAGCCGCTGCCTTCGTTACAATCGACCTCGAAAAAGCCTACGACCGAATGAGGTGGGAATTCCTCTTTCAAAGTTTGCATCGGCGGGGCAATGGGAAAACATTCTGCAACTGGACTCGACTGCTCCTGGTTGCAGCACGCACGTGTATGCAAGTGAATGGGGTGCGCTCCAGCTTTTTACAACTTACCAGATCAGTACGGCAGGGATGCCCGCTTTCACGTGCTCTATATGTCATCTATATAGAGGCCCTACACGACCTCCTCCGAGGGGATGAAGCTTTGCAGGGACTGCAGTTGAGACAAGACATGGTCCTCAAGTCCACTGCCTTTGCAGATGACACCGGTGCAGTCATCCCGCCTACCACACAGCAATTAAGACGCCTTCAAATGGATCTGGAATTGTTTTCACAGTACTCAGGCGCCAGGGTGAATTGGCGGAAGTCGCAGGCCATCCTCCCGCAGGGCTATACTGCCCCAGAAGGCTGGGACGTGCCCACCTTGGCGGATGGTGAAAACCTGTGTTTCTTGGGGGCCCTGATTCACCCGGTGGGAGGGGGTGCTCAACGGATGGAAGGATTGGCAGCGGCAGCAATTCTGAGGTTGGGGCGATGGGCGAAGAGGACGCATCTAGGAGTGTTTGGCAAGGCCCTCGTCCTTAAAAATTCGGTGCTGTCCACGATGTGGTATGCTGGGGCCATCCACATGCCGAAGAGGCGGGTGTTCCGGCAGTTGCGGGCAGCGGTGCATAGATACCTGTGGGCAGGAGATGTGGAAGCGGAGTCGGTAATCCCGAGGGTGGCTTGGTCGAAGCTCACCCAGCCCAGGAGTCAGGGGGGGCTGGAGATCTTGGACCCAGAACTGCAGATGACGGCGCTTCAACTGTGCAACCTGCTGTGGTTTCTATTGGGGACGGCGGGCACAGCCTGGGAGAGCCTTACCACTCAGCATTTGGCCCTGGCGCTTGGCATGACAGAGCAAATGGTCCTAGTGGCGCTTGCCAGCCCAGGCCTCATTAGCCACGTCAAGAGGAATCACGTTTGGTCCGCTGCGCTGACGTTGTGGAAAAAGCTCCAATTACAGCAGGAGTTACCGGTCACCACCGATGATGTCTATAATCAACTCCTCTTCGACAACCCCTGCATATGTGACGACGTGGGTGATCTGTTCCCATGGCAGGGGAAGCCCGGGGCCTTTGGGAAATATTGGGCGGAATGTGGGGTCTTTAAGATCGGGCACTTGTGGGACGAGGAAGAGAGGGACTGGAGGAAMGAGGCTGACATGGCAGTGCGGCTCCCCCACAGGTTCCGGAGGCGGCAAAACTTATCCGCCGTTCAGCGGGCTATTCCCACGCAATGGGTGGATACACTGAGGGTGGAYCATAGGGTGGTGGGAGAATGGGTGAGACGCAAGAGAGAGACACACCCCCTGCAGGTATACCAGATCACACAGGTACAGGGTGAGGAGGTGGTGACGCGAGCATGGGATGTGGTGACAGGGTATGAGGGTCTGGGAGCCCCAATGAGAGTCAGACCTGGTGCGGGGACGCGGTGGAGGACTGACGAAATTGAGACGGTGGGGGTATGCGCAGAGGAGAAAAAAGAGGTGGGGCTGGGAAGTGCCCGACCCTTCCGGGTTTGCAGCACAAGGCGAGAGCTGGTGATTTATCCACAAGAATGGAGCTGGCCTAAGCAGAATTATAATAAGCAAAAAGTCCGGCTCCCTCAAGTGACTACCAGGATCATATACCGCTCCCTCCTCCCCCCATTGGATCTGCGTGAAGAACTGGTGGACCGGTGGGCCAAACGGGAGTGGCTTCCCATGATCTACCTGTACCGGTGGCGACAGAGGAATGGAGAGAGCAGTGTGCAGTGCTGCAATCGTTGTCGAATCAGAAGCAGGCAGGTCTGTTGTGGCTCATCTACCACCTGGCGGTTCCCACAGCGCAATGGCAGGCCAATAAAAGCAATTATCGGGACGAGCATTGTACTGCGGGATGCGGCCAGGTGGAAACCATCCCTCATCTCTTCGTTGCCTGTCTGGTTCTCCAACAGTTTTGGATGTGGTGGGCCGTAGAAGTGGGAAAGCACTCCCCTTTCTGTGTCACGGAGGATGATGTGGCACACATTTTGTTGGGCGCCCTGATCAAGGTGGACAGGAAGGACAAGGGGGAGCTCTATGCCTTGGAGGTGATACGGGTGGCTGTTCTCTGGGCCATCTGGACCCTTCGAAACGAACGGTGTAGACAGGGCAGGGAGATCACCCTGCAAGCTTTACGCGCACGGGTCCTGGAGAGCCTGCGCACGGCCATGTCCACAGAGGCTCTGCGGAGCAGGAGAGCCAAAGATCACGGCCTGACGAAGTTCTGGGCCGTCTCGGGCAAGTATCCAGGCTTGGTACAGCAGGATGGGAACCTGGGCCTGTTAAAAAAGGTCCGGCCCTGTGCAGTCACGGGTCTGTTTAGGATTAGGGTGAGTCGACAGATGCACAATAGATGGCTTGAGCTTGAGTGATTTTGTGTGTTGTGTTTTGTCCCAAGGGCATAGTACGGTAAT